CGAAAGCCGAGCAGCAAAGTGGCACGACCTCTTGAGCGATGCCATTAATGAGCGGGGCCCTCACGTGCCAAAGCTTGCCTGGCGAGAACGAATCGGAGTGTGCTTGGCTGTGCATGGCAGTGTGGACACAGGATGGTGAGAAATAACATGCGTGTAGGGTGGATGGAAGCTTGGGCATCCGCACATGATCAACATTCGTGGTCATCATCCGAATCCAAATATCATGTGGTGCAGCTTGGCAGGCTGTGCAAAATTGAAGCGATGATGCTCACATCAGCGGCTAAGGACCATTCAGCATCTGCAGAAGAAGCAGAGTCAGACCATCGAGGATGGAGCACTGGGTTTGCTTGTGTGGTTGTTGTTGTGGTTGTTGAGGGCGCTTCGGGAGCTTGTGCTGAGGAGATGGAGCTCGAGAAAGACGAATCTGACGAGGATGAAGACATGGAAGACGACGGTGCTGACGCCCCTTGCACGCCAAGACATCGCGCCAGCTTGCAACCTGTGGCTACTATGAGCACTCCGCATTCCGCATCTTCATCTTCTGGCCCAGGTGGCCTCCAACGCTGGAGACGACGAGGTCAGGGTCCATTCTGGAAGGGCACGAGTATCATAAGTATTGAGGATGACAGGAAACAGCATGAGTTCGAGTCCATAACCGTCCGCATCGGGGTAAATAGGCTTGCATCGGGAACAAACATCAGGAGCGGCCCATCTACAACCCGCTCAACTTGCCGCTGGGCAGGGGCCACAGCTTGGCGCATGTGCCAAGTCGCTGTCACAGTTTTCAGTCGCAGGTTGGGATGGCAAGCCGATTCCGTTCTGGTTGTACAAGCTTCACGGAATGGGCCGGCAGCCGAGAGAGTCTCAAGCATGCATGATAGTGTCAGTGAGCACCCGGCCCACAGGCCGCTTTCAATGAATAGACACTGGCGAACACGTCGGGGAAGGGGCTGCGAAACAACTCAAGAAAATCCTCGCACCGTTCACGGACCACAGATTCACATCAAAATGGTACAAGTCGTTGGAAGCTGTATTCGGTCCAGCAAACATAGTATCAAGCACCTCGGTTGAAACGGCATGGCGTACCAGCCCTCACGCCCCAACAGCAATAATAAAGCCTGGGCGACATGCGCAGCGTGGGAGGATGAAGAAATGAAGCCTAGTCGTGTCCTGTTGGACGATGCCACCTGTGACGAGATTGTCAAAGCATGCGTGTTAGGGGCTCCCCTGAATAACTAGCAAGCAACCGGTCCCGGAATCCGCATTGCGACGGTTCTTGATTCTTGAATCTGCGTTGTGCTGGGTGTTGCAACCTTTAACTTCCTAATCCGCCCGACAGTCTTGGTGAGTGTCTCCAGCCCTTGTTTTGTGGTCTTTAAATCTTCACCCGAGCTCTCCCTGCATCCTGCTAGCATGTCTTCCGGTTACTCAGTGACATGGGTCATTTCACATGGTCGTCATGCCTGGCAAATGGTCATCGTGTGCAGCATTGGAGTCACGAAGAAGCTTTCATATAGGATCTGTGGAACCACATGTATATAGGTACTGCAGCAATACAGTCTGCCGTTACCTTCCGAGGCATTGAGTACAAGTGCGAAATCTGCCAGGATCCTACGCTTGCTTCCGAAGCCGAGGCCTCTCCAAGGCATAGAAACTGCAAGCACTCAGGTGGGAACTACTCCTACTGGGGTCGGAGGGCATTTGAGAGGCACTTCCAGGACCTGCACCCCTTGAGTCTCTGGCATTCGGCACTTGGATCATTTGTTCGAGCTGAGATGAGCTTGGAAGGAGTGGAGACATGCCTTCGGCATGCGATGCTTGAAGATCCCGAACACAGCACACTTCAAGGAGATCACGAAGATCGAGGACTTAGATCTCCACGGTATCTCAAGGTTAATCTCAAGGATCGTGCGGTCGTGTGGGTGCTCGGCGCTTGAGGAAGCCATCACGCTCTACGAGAAACTGAAGCGCGACGCTGAGGAGCAGACTTTCCGACCCGAGCAGGCCGTGGCCGTCAGGGAGTTCTTTTTGTCGGCGAAGACATGACGGAAGCTCTGGACTCCGGAGAAGTGAGATGCAGGATGTCGAATGCGAAGACATCCAGGGCAACGTGATGAGCCAGCGAGCCTTCGAGGTGTTTTGTGGCAACTTTTGTAGGTGTGAATGACAAAGCTTTCGATGTGTAGATTTCTTGGGCGGCCCGGCAGGACTTGCGAAGGCAAGGGCTGGTCTGAAGTGTGTGCGGCTCGGCTGTCCGAGACAGCATCGGGCTTCTGTTGTGCCGCAGTTGGCTCAGCTGAGGCTTTCTGCAAAGTGCTGCGAAGTCTGAGCGCATGTGGACGAAGACAGAGCCGCTATACGGAGCTGCTACTGTAAGAGTTCGGAGGGAGTTTCGGAGGGCACGGCCCTCAACAGGGAGAGCAGCACGCGCAGCGCAAAAAGATCCCAGCGTCTTTGCGTCGTTGTGATCATGCCGGCTATTTCAGGGACTGTTTGAAAGCCAAGTACCGTTTAAGTCGAAGATCTCTCCACTACGTTGCTTGAACTTCAAAGGATCAACTCCTCAGACATGCTTTGATTTGGATTCGGCCTACTGAAGCTACCAATCACGAACTCGCACCGTGATTCGAATCATGACTCATCTTCCGAAGTCATCTTCCATCCATCCATGAGACGATCTTTGGAGCTTTGGCACACCCCTTGCAGCCTCGTGCTGAATCACGTTGCAGCACTTCAAAACCCGGCACGCTTACGCGTACCTTCAGGTTTCTATCATCTTGAAAAGTGAAAAGTGCTGAAGGCATGAGACATTCATATTCGAACTCGAGGGTTCAGCACGCATCTCGTTGAGCTGCGCATCTCGGGGCGCGGCTTCGTGCAGGGATGTAGGAGAACGCTGAGCGGTGCAGGAAGGTGAGAAGGCAAGGCCGTAAGGCACAACGGCGCGGGCTGCACGCCATACTCGGCTGCACGCCATACTCCAGCTGCACTGGCCTTGCCGGCTACACCCCTAGCGGACACCTTACCGGCCGTCCGTTTGTTGCGTCGTGCCCATGGGCACCTAGCCGAAGCGCATCAAGCCTCACTCCGACTTGTTCCGTCGCCAAGCTGCACAGCCCCACCGGTCGACCATGCCCGCAGTGGAAGGCCTGAGAAGACAAATCGAGAGAACGTCCCGTCCCTTGAGCGACGCTCAGCTCGGGCCATCGCATGGCACAGAGATGCACAGAGACCGTGGAAGGCGCTGTCGGTGCCGGCGACAAAACGCTCCAGGTGCGAGGTCGACTCAGTCTGTGCTCGACGATGAATTCCTCGTATGCGCATGCCGGTCCCACGTCCTTACCCTCCGGTCTACACCCGCCCTTTCGCCAGGCACCTTGCGCATAGGGTATTGGATCACCACGTCGCATGTCCGTGGTTTACATTCAGAGTCTACATCCAATCAGAAACAATCAGAAGAAGCGAGGCTGCCGGGCACCCGATCGGTCTGCGTTGTGTGGTTTCTGGACGCCATCCGTCGGGACGAAGCCACACCGCCCCGTGCCGCCGCAACACGTGCAGGGGGTAAACGAAAGGTCATTACGCAGTTACATTCACGCTGCAGACGTTTCTTTGGACGCCTAGGTCGCCACACCACTCTTGGCCAGTCGCACGATTACCTCGCTGTACTAATGCAATCCATTTCTCGCTCACCACCTCATTGGCCAAGACTCGTCGGCCTTGGTTCGTTTCTGTCACCGCACTACCCTGCCCCAATGGTTCCAGTCTCGTCCCCGACGCACCATTTCCCAGCCCCCAATGCCACCGCCAAGTTCCTCCAGTTCCACTGCAGAAGAGCAGGATTGTCACAGCGAAAAGGCTTTGCTGGAGCCTTTCGCTGTGTTCCGCACGTCACGCCTTGTTCACAAACTGCAAAGCCACCGGAAGCTGCAAGTTGCTTTGCAGTTACGTTATGAGTTATGAGCCACGGGTCCTTCCACTTGCCCTGGCAAGAGATGGTCGGCGATCTTGTTTTCTGCTGCCGTACGTTCCTTCGCTGCCAGTTCCGTCAAAATGCGGGCCCAGTGACAACTCACAGTTTGCAGGGACCGCAAGGTTAGATGCTATAGACCGTCGATTTTTCGCAAAGTTTCCCGATTTCGTGGCGAATGTGATCTGCCCCAATGATTTTTCTGGGCCAGTTCTGAGTGTCACCTTTTTCATTGCAATGATCCGTGATGGATATCACACTCGGGCCAGGACCCAGTATTAGCTTACAGCTTACCGCTGCCTTCCCGGTGCAGCGCGAGCCATATCCGTGTTGGGCTTTGCGTGCAGGACCACCGCCTGCCCCGTGTTGGCATGTTGCTGTAACTGTCCCACCGCCAATCCAACAAAGCGGCTTTCGAATCGGGTCCAAGCCCTGCGCATGGCCTGCGGCGTCTGGCTTTGGATTCCACCGAAATGCAGAGTCGGATTTTCGTGCTGCTGTTGGGCGCTTCCACCCCGAGGCAGCTGTCGGAATCCGACCACTGCTACGGCGCACTCTCAAACTCCGGGCTGCTGGCTTGCGCATGAGCGCTTCGATCCCAACACGGGCAAACGGCGAGGCTTGAGGGCAGCCCGCACGGCGGACAACCCCAAAGGGTGCGCGAGCGCGACAGCGCGTCGGACCGCCATTGTGCGCCCGATGCATCCCGATGCGCCGGCCAGGACCGGGCTCCGCTTGTGAGCGGCCGGGCGCTTGCCGGAAGTTCGAATGCCGGCAGGCTGGGAGGGAGCTTGAGGCACCGCATGGCACCACTGCAACACGGTGCAGTTGCGTTTCGCAGATCGGCACATGCCGGCCTGATATCGTTAGATTTGCAGCAGCGAAAGCAAGCACATGTGTGTTTCATGACGGTTCATAACGAGTGCAGGAGGTGGCCGTTGGCGGGATGACAAGGTGATGTCTTTCGGCGATTTGCTTGCAGGGTATCGAGTTGCGTGAGGATGCTTACCTTCACACTTTTGCAGCCGTCTCAAAACGCACGGTCCCCGGGCACGGTTGCCATACTCAGCTGCCGGCAACCGCGCAAGGGCACAGATGAGAGCAGGCTGAGCAGCGCTGGAGCTGCATCGGCCTTAGAGCGGCGGTTCAGCGGCGCCAACAGGCGCGCGCGGCTGAAACAGCTCTCCCCACAAGCATCCGATGTTGCCATCTCGTCGTCGGGATTGAAGTCGGCGGCGGGTTTGATGGCGAGGCCGTGCAGCTGGTGCGCTTTCTTGCACGGCACCGGGCCGCTGCTGTTCCGCACCCGTTGCGGCCGTCGGCCATCCCTGTTTCCTTGAGCTCCTCACACTCCCCCGCCGCTTGAATTCGGAGATGGCCCAAAACCCGACCTGCACGAGCTCTTTGCGGCCAAGTCCTCCGGCTCCGCAGACTCCGCACCGTAAGTGGCAGTTGCACAGGGACCCTCGTCACTGAATGTCAGTGACAAGCATGCTGTTCAAACAAAAGATCCGTGCCACGCGCCGAACATTCATGCCACCCCCACCACGGCCTCGCTGGCAGGATGCTCATCTCCCCAAGGTCGCATGCGGCGACCCGCAACCTGAGTCCCAGTGCCGGGCCTTGCTGGGTGGGCTGGTGCTGGCCAGTACCGGGCCTTGCTGGGTGGGCTGGTGCTGGAAAGGGTGTACCCCGAGGGCGGCACCAAGAGTCGTGGTTGACTCGACGAGCACCCTTCCCCCACCAGGCGGCAGTAGGGCGACAGTGCCGTACAGTCTTGGGGGGGACATTGGATCTCATACACCTTCTTGTTCCCAGTAAGACGACGATTTAATGTATTTGTGTTTGTTGAGGGCTGCTGTCTGTGACGATGCTGAACGCTGGTGACATAATCTGATGCTGCTGATGTTGTTGTTGCTGCAGGTTCATCCTTACGCTATATGGTACATCATCTAGCGAACTATAATCCATGTCACCATGAACACTACACAGTCACCACCTTCAAATCAAGCTCCAAATGACCCTGAAAGGGTTAGGGACAAAAAGGGAACGAGGATATCGGGTACCCTCGGAACCCCACTCCGAACTCCCAACTCTGAAGATTACAAACCCCTGCCGAGACCTTGGTACACTTCTCGATTTGTGCACCATGCTTGAGCCACAACGTGTGGCGTGTCGTCCTTGCGCAGGGGCCATGCTTCAATGGTCCTGGCAAGCGTGTCATCCTTGCGTCAGGGGCCATGCTTCACTGGTCCTGACAACTGCCTTAGTACACTTCTCGATTTGTGCAGATCGGCTGTGCAAACACACTCCTCCTCACGCGAGCATGTCTGAGTGAGCGTGCCAACCCGTTCTGCACTCGAGATGCACAAAGGTCAAACAAAAGGTCGTATCAAGATTGATGCCTGAGAGATACTGGACTCTTCCTTCGGCAACACTCGGCAAACTATCACATGCATCCCACACATGCAGATCTCAACACTACAAACAGTGGGCAAGTCCATCGTAGTGCAAGCGTATCTCGGTTACATTTCGGAATCTCATTGTTCATCGAAGGTTCAAGCGAGCTCGGGCTAACTCCAGAGCCGATCGTTTCAGCGTCTTTGTCAGCGCATCCGCTGGTAGCTCATTTCCCGACATGTGCTGAATGTCAAAACCCTCGAGAACAGCTTGGTCACGGACATACGAACATCTGATACCTCCTGTTCTGGTTCTCGTAGTAATCAGCGCACCGTCTTCACGCACCAGGTTGATGACACACGCAGCGTTATCACTGAACAAGCACATCTCCTGATCTCCAGTGATTGCACTCAGTACGAGTTTGATCTGAGCTCCACTCTGACATGTGGTTGCGGCTGCATCCACCTCAGCCTCGAAAGCCGACCATGCGCACGTGGTTTGACGACATGACCGCCACATCACAACATGATTTCCCCATGCAATCCATACGCCTGATCTGGATCTGGATGCTCCTGTTGCCCAAGAGGCATCACCATAACAGTTCAAGCACTCTTTCACTGCATCAGTGTAGTCGTAGTGTAGCTTTACATGTTCGGTACCTTTCAAGTACTTCCATGCTCGGGTGCAAAGCTGAAGAACCTTTGCAGGATCAATTGTTTGCAGACTCGCCAGTGTGCCGACATATGCACTCAGATCCGGTCTGCTACGTAGGCACACCCACTGTAGACAACCCAGTTCCTTCTGGCACATCTTCAAATCAGCATAGTACTGACCCGTGTGCTCCTTTGGCATCCACACACCTTCTTCTACATCAGGAAGACTATCACAACCCCCCATCGTGCTCCATCCACGTTTCTTTAACTCTGTGGAAATCCAAGCGTGTTGATGCAAGTACATCCCGGTGGCATCCCTTCCAATCTTCATGCCGAGGAAAGATAGCTCATCCTTCACATTAACGGGCGTGCTTTCCAGCATGATTGTTTCCCCAACCATGAGATTCATGTGAGGATTTTGGAGGATTCCTTGAACCTTCAAGCCCCATAAAGTGGACAGCTTTGCCTTCAGCCTAGCGCAGATTTCCACATCACCAATGATCAGCGCGTCATCCACGTACATGACCATGGCGCCCTGGATCTCGCCACTCGGGTCTCGAATCAACCATGTCCCTGACTCCAGGCTTTCCAAGTTCAGCAATCCGTGTTCATGGTGAGGAAGCGGCTCTAATGCTACACCATCTAGTTCGCCATTTCGCTCCAGCTCCCACTGACGGGGGGACCTCCGTAATCCGTAAATCGCTTTCCGGGCACGCCAGATAAAGCCCTTTTCAAGGAGGCCAAGCTTGTACAGGATACTCGGCGGCTGAATGAGCACCGGTTTCGAATCCGGACTTCGATCAAGTCTGGCATTCAGGAATGCGCATGAGATGTCCATGACCACCGCCGTCATGTTGGTAGGACGCCTCGCCAGTAGCGAAAGCAAGATTCTCACAGTCTCCGCACCTGGATTTCCTGCAAAGTTTTCTGGATCATGTGCCTTTGAGTCCTTCTCGAAGTTTCGACAAGCAACTAGCCGGACTCAAGGATTCCAAGCTTGCTGAATGAGAGCAGCGATTTCCGAAGCACCCATGTCCGATCTGATGATTACCTCCGAATCCTCCATTGGCTTCTTGGTTAGCACCAGCTTACTCGGAACCGGCTTTGCCTTTCGGAACTCGCTCTGCCGAACTTTCTCCAGCACATTCTTGGTTTCCATGGGGTCTAGCTCCTTGTTGAGTCCTGCCATCCACTTGTTGAGCTCCCACTCCGGAGTCGATGGATTCACGAACACCCCTGCGTCAGCAGTTTCTGTGACCATCAAGCGCTGAGATGTTGCCTCATCCTTAATCATCTGCTGTTCCACCTTGTTGGAATAGATCACATAACTTCGTCTTGGTGTTTTCAGGATTTGGCCTTTCAGCTTTAACCACCCCTACCCTGGCTTCACCGTCAGGTTCTTCTTCATCCACTGGAGTCACCAAGAACCCATGACCAAACAATCCAAACAAGTGCTTCTCAGCCTCGGGCACCAAATGTTTTTTGAAGCGCTCCCTGATGATCTCAGATGCAGTGTTCCCGTCGTTCCACGGCTGGATTTCCTCTACCGACTCTTCGACCGTAATCATGTCAGAAGGTGGAGCATTCCATTTCACATCCCCAGTGGTGCTCACCCACACAGTTTGATCTTGGGGGCCTCGCTCAAGTCGCCATCGGACCGCCTCAACATCCCTAAGAACTGGCATCTGCGTCACACGCACAGCGGTCCTACCGTCCCGTGTTACCAGAACCCGAGCCCCACCAGGCGTTCGCTCATCATTGGCCAGGAATAGGCCCTCCTCTGCCCTAGGTTCGAATGGATGCCCTGCGGAGCTTGTTGGCTTTCGCACAAACACTGTGTCGCCCATTTTTGGGCGGTCCCTCGGGACCAGAAGTTTCAATGCCCTACATCGCCGCAGGAAGGTGGCTTCCAGCACTGCCTCGTCCCAGAATTGCAAAGGGAATTGCGCATGCAGCAACAGGGATCCCACCGCTGCCTTAAGCAATCCTACAAGCCTCTCTGCCCGACCATTCTGCTGTGGCGTGTATGGTGCACTCATCGTGGGCCACACACAACACTGCTCCACTGCTTTCTGAAATGCTCCTCCCACGAACTCCTTACCAGCATCACTGTGGATACGGAACACTGGGGGAACACCCTGAGCAAGCGATACAATCTGGCACATCACAGAGGTCAAGGCTTTTGGCACCTCTTCAGTTTGTTTGGTGAACAACAGCCTCGAAAACGGAATGTCAACACCGTCCTTTCTGCTCAAGTTTGCAACCATGAAGTAGCGATGTCCTGAAAATGCGGCCGGATGGGGACCTGACAGGTCCATGGACAAAGTGCCCTCACCGATCTCTTCCGGATTCAATCGCCTGCACTTGCGCTTATGACCGTGGGCCTCAGCACAGCTGGGACAATGACGCTCGTACAACCCTTGTGCACATTTCCTCCTGAGTAGCTCAATCGCCCTTTGTTGCGAGACTTCATCAAAGCTTGATACAGGGTTCACAGCTTCAGCGCTTCGGACGCTCCATGGCTGCACGGATGAGTCTAAGGCCCGGAGTAGCGATACTCCACAATGCTCACAGCGACCCGACATACCGGAGGAAACAAACCCTTCATATCCCGAACAGCCCTCACCCTCATCCTCATCATCAAAATCATCTGGATGCGTTCTGCTGTTCTCCTGGGCTCCATGATCTGAAACCTCACTGACTGCTGGATGCGCCATGGCCTTGCCCTGGCTCGCGACTGCAACTGCGGCCTTGGATGAAATCTCTGGTAAGTTGAAACCCAATCGTCTCAACCTGTCTGTCATATCCTGATCAAGACGCTGCAGCTGCCTAGTAAGCGACCACCGTTGATCGAACACCCCGATGTTGATCAGCTCCGTGCCAACGTCTTGGGTCAAAGATGTGTGCCTTTTGGCACACGTCTAGCAGCATTCCAGTTTTGACTTCATCCTGCGATACACGTCTCCTGGCCGTGCCAGCTGAATCTTCAATCCACAGCTTGCCACCCTCAAATTTGGAAATTCCCACGATTCCCGCCACTGACCCCACAGCGTTCGTAAGGTCTCTGTGCGGACGCAGGGTAGCATCGATTGCCAGTGAGATCGTGGTAAACGTCAAGGTCGGCAACTCCTGTCTAATGAATCTAACCAGTAACCTTGTCAAGAAAGGTCGTTCGCGGGTAACAGTGGTGATCCCTGTAACTCCCCCGTGGCAAAACATTCCGAATATCCAGATTTGTACTCGGTCTTGATCTGGATTCACCAACATATCCTGCCTATGCGTTCTTTGACCTTTCAAGTGTGCCTCCCGGATAAGTCGCCACACATCCTCATGCGATATATTGTCACGACTCAAAAGCTCTCTAGCTCTAGACTCTGACTCCCAAATTGCCTTTGCGATCTCCTCGCTCTCTTCGGCTGTCATGCGGTATGCCTCTTCATTCCACACAGCCTCGCTCAACTCCTCGATGGAACATGTTTGGCAACTCTTCCACTCAAGAGCTGCCTCTGTAGCTGCGCGTGCAACTGTTGGCCTGCGTTTGAAGTGTTTTGAGAGCATGATCCGAATCGGCTTGAAGCTTTCCCAATCAAGAAAGGGCAACCCATTCTGAATCCTGCAATCCACATACTGCTCATGCCCTTCACCGTCAAAATAAGATACTGTTGCTGCCTCTCGATCCCACTTGAAAGTTCCACCAGCCTCCACGAGCCGACGAACACTCAACAGCCAGTCCCTACTATCCTCGGTGGACTTGATGCATAACTCTCCATCCCTGGTTCTAAGCGCGGCTACTCGATCACCACTCGCAGTTACAACGGCTGTGTGGGTACATCCACTTTCCTTTATATCTGCAAGCCAAGGACGAATAGTCTCATTTGCACCCGAATCCACCAACACCGACGGCTGCTGACTGACCACTGCACTTCCAACTGGTTGATCAACACACTCAAGTCTGCTGGCGGTGATTGGCTCAGCCTTAGCTCCAACCAACATGGGTGGTTCAAAATCAAGCTCTTCCTCAACACATACACAACGCATGGCTGTCGGCATTGTTGCTCCTCCTCGAGGTGCTCTCGCCACTGCTCGTGCTTTGGGAAATGCTGTAGCTTTGGCTCGAGGGGCTGTAACGAATGGAACCTGGAATGCTCTAGCTACTGCTTTCGCTGCTGCTTTGGGTACTGCGGTGACAGCTTCAATCGCCTGAATCTCGTTTGCTCTCCAAGCGTAAGCTGCAGCCTTAGCTAGAGGAGTTATGGGATAACCTATCCTAGGGAAACCCTGATGCAACTCCGGAGGCGGCGCCGTGATCGTCGGTGCCTTCGCAACTGGAGGGCTGCTTGCTGAGGCTGCTGTACTCAGTTCCCGATTTGGCCACGGAGTGACAATGGGACGAACTCGCCCTCTAATCACTGCAACCCTGCGCTCTCTTCCCGTCTCCTCCTCAAGGAGCCACACCACAAAGACATTCCGAATGATGCCATCCTCAAACAACACTGGTGTCACATCGCACCTCAACATCACCACATCTTCCGTCACAGGGATCACTCCCTGTTCGTTGTCATCAAGATAATCCTGTTCAATCGTCCACCAAACAGGCCACATAATGGAGTTTGGATTGGTTTCCATCTGGAACTCGGAAGTGGCATGTGACTGAATGTGACCAGGTCTCGTCCACATGATGAAATCTTCAATCGTCAGGTTTAACACCCATAGACGAAGTGGTTGCACCTGCCGGTGCTGATCTTCATCAGCCTGAAACTCTTCCTCTGAAGAAGGCTCTGCACTGGAGAAATCGCCACGCTCTACTTCCGACTCTCATAGGAATCTCTGCTTCAAGTGACTTTGACTCGCTAGAATCATTACTCTCGCAGTCCAGACTCTGTGCCATCATGATGCGTGGAGCTGTTGACTCGGATGAAGTCGGCCCTACTGCACCAACCAATGATGGAACCTCCTCTGAAGTCGCGCTTGCAACATGCACTACCGAAGAAGCCTTAGCTGATGCTGCTGCTTTTGCTGCCGCTTTGGCCGCCTTTTTTTCAGCCTTCGCCTTAGCCTTCGCTTCCGCAGCGGCCTTAGCCTTTGCTTCTTCAGCCGCCTTTGCATCTGCAATCCCTCTCGCGTCGCCCTTACCAGATGACTTCCCCTTTTCAGAAGAAGATTTTCCAGCATCCTTCCCATCTTTGCCGCTCTTGCCTTTGGCCTCCTTCCCTTTGTTTGAAATCCTTTCATGTCTGAACTCGCAATTTGCTCCCTTTAGGCAACCTCTGGCAGTATTGAAGTACGAGCACAACGGCCTTGCACCGACACCCTTTCCCCCAGTAGCCTGATTTGCCGAAGGAATAGCGTATTCATCTCCCTCATGTTTCCGAGCATCCTTGGACGACGACGACGTCTGTTCCTCAGCTTGAATCCGGGTACATTCGGCTTCCAATACCTGAAGGAACGATGTCACTCCGTCGTGGGATGGTACCTGGGTGTTGTGCTGCATTCTCAACAAGCTCAATCTTGTTCCCAACAAAGCATGCTTTTTCTCAAGCTGTTGGCACAAGCTGTTCAATGCAGCAATTGACTCATGAGGGGCTTGTTCTGGGACTCCTAAATGATCAGCGCGTTGCTTGGCCAGTCTCCACCTCCTGAGTGTAGCAAGCAGTTCCTTGCAAGATGATGCCGTGGGAAGTTGCCGAAGGAATCTCTGTAACGACACTTGCTCAGTAATACCTCCTGGCATCAACACTTCGCTCACTGTCTCCATTAATGCAATCGTGGATACCGCCTCATTTGGGGTACCCTTCTCAAGAGCCGGTTGCTTCAAAGAAGATGGGATTGCCTTAAGCAGAGCTAGGCTCAAGCGGGTTTCCATCTCCCGCTCCTCCTGATGGACTACTGGCAACGTTGACTCACAACCATCCCTCAAACGCTTCTCATAATTGGTCTGTCCCTCCTGCACTCGCTTTCGGAAGAACTGCGCAAACGATGGGGATATCGCCTCTGCCAATGATGCGGCTTCTGTACACCACTGTCTAAACACCATTCCCTTTTCCCACGGTTCTCCATGTGAGTTTGGGAAAATCTTTGATCAATTTCCATTGTCCCGCTGGAATCTTAGCACCAGAACTTCCTAGACCTGGAGGCTCCGCAGGAACTGACTGCACAACTTGAGGTTCCTCTACTTGTTCCAGCCACTCATCAACAGCATCCTGCTTCCATGAATCATCGGCTCCGTCACGCTGGGGAGTCATCTGGAACATCTGGACACCTGACGTTGTGCGATGCCTTGGTGTTTCGATGATCTCCTGAGCCTGCGCCTCCTCCTCAAACCTCTCATTGGACACCTCCTCTGCAATCTGCTGGGGCATCTGAAATTGAGGACGACGTGATGAAGCTCTGGATTCCGAACTAAACCCCACATCAACGTGAGTCTGCAAGGTTTCAAAACGGCTGGTGAGATCCTCCGACCGCTGTCTAAGCTTCTCACAGAGTTTCTCATCTCCATCCACACGTTCGAAATAATGTTTCAACAACTCATCCATCTCATCGATTCTGCGCTGAATGCGGGTCTCACTCTTGAATTGCGCGCTTTGTTGTATCTCGGCTTGCTGTCGCTCAAACCTTGACAATGTAGCTTTCATCGAAACCACTTCATCTTTCAGCGCGTCCGCTGATGTAGCCTGAGCTTGCAACTGAATAATCTGATTCTCAAGGACACCCAACCGAGTCTCCATCGTAGACTCAAAGGTGACCTGACGCCTCGACAACTGGGTGACTGCACTTTCTATCTGCTGGATCTGTTCATCAAGCTGTTTGAACTTGTCATTGGCGTTGTTCAAGGCAACATTATGATCACTTGCAGCAGTGAGCAGTCTCTCTGATTGATGTTTCACCCCATCTAGGTCCCCGGTAATTCCCGACAAGCACGATGCCAATCGTTCTGTTCTTGCCTCAAGCTCCTGAGCCACCAAACGAACATTGCTCTGCACGTCCTTGATGGTCTTAGCGTCTGCCACTACTGCAGCTGATGATTGAAGCAATCTCAGAACTTCGGCTGGCGCCTGAATCTGCAACATCTGCTGCATCCTCATATGTACCACATTTTCTGATGACGGCTCGTCGAAGTGCTGAAGCTGTGGTGCCACTGAAGCACTCGCTGCAGAAAGGGATTGCGGTGGAGCGTTTGGGCTCATCACCTGTGTTTGTTGAGGGCTGCTGTCTGTGACGATGCTGAACACTGGTGACATAATCTGATGCTGCTGATGTTGTTGTTGCTGCAGGTTCATCCTTACGCTATATGGTACATCATCTAGCGAACTATAATCCATGTCACCATCAACACTACACAGTCACCACCTTCAAATCAAGCTCCAAATGACCCTGAAAGGGTTAGGGACAAAGAGGGAACGAGGATATCGGGTACCCTCGGAACCCCACTCCGAACTCCCAACTCTGAAGATTACAAACCCCTGCCGAGACCTTGGTACACTTCTCGATTTGTGCACCATGCTTGAGCCACAACGTGTGGCGTGTCGTCCTTGCGCAGGGGCCATGCTTCAATGGTCCTGGCAAGCGTGTCATCCTTGCGTCAGGGGCCATGCTTCACTGGTCCTGACAACTGCCTTAGTACACTTCTCGATTTGTGCAGATCGGCTGTGCAAACACAGTATTTCAAACTATTTGCTATGACTACTACTACTACTACTACTATTACTACTACTACTACAACAGCAACAACTACTACTACCACCACCACCACCACTACTACTACTACTACTACTACTACTACTACCGGTACTACTGGTGCTACTACTACTACTACTACGACTACTACTACTACTACTACTACGACTACTACTACTACTACTACTACGACTTCTACTACTACTACTACTACTACTACTACGACTTCTACTTCTCCTTCTACTACTACTATTGCTAATGCTACTGCTGTGCGGTATCTAACCGTTAGAAGTGCGTGCGATGCTGGTAGCAGTACTGCCGTCTAATTGCAATGTAGCTTCAACAGGCGGGGAACCACGAAGCGCTTCATACGCAAGTGGTTTCCTCGAAATGTTTTCCTTGTGGCAATGCTGAAGAGCGCGTGCTGCTCCGATTTGTTCAGTGAAGTAGTCGTGAACATGATTCATGAGGCACTCGGGTCGTACTCGTGTACCAAGACACAGGACTTCTTGTGGCACTTGGAAGACATTGCAACATCCAATCAAGTGCGGCGGATGTAGACAGGCAAAGGGTTGATTTTTGTGACCTTCCCTTTCCAGATGCATCCCGCGCGCCCATGAGTGCACAGAGCGCATGTCAAGGCATGTCAAGGCGATGTGTTAGCCACCGCTGAATAACCTAAGGGCCGGGAACTATCAAATGCCTCAGGGCGACACAACAAGCTATAATGGCATCACTGACGATGCCGTTCTGGCTCTTCACAAATTCGCCGGGAGACGGCACAACGGATGTTAGCATACTTCACAACCCCGGAGCGTGGTCTTGGCACGGTTTCCCTTGATTCAACACCTCTTCCTCGCTCCATCGGGTTGCAGCATTGGTGCCCCCGGCTCCCAAACGTTCGAATCGTAGCGAAGGTGCCCCCCGCCGCGCACCTTTTTACCACTACCCAAGAAAGTCCGGGTCCAGGTGCAGCTGCATTCTACGGCAGACGGCTCGGTGTGGGAGGGACTGCGCCGTGCAGTACGTCCCCGAGCCAAGGGAGCTGGGAGCCAGGCATGGCTCCGTTGATGTTATGGCGTGCCAAGCAGCGTTGCAGCAAGGGTGTGTTGCAGAGCATCGCTTAGCAGACACCACCACTGGCGCAGCCAACCCTGGCTAGCGGCGCTGCGCAGGGCGGCCGGAGCGCGCTGGGCTCGAAGCCGCACGTGGGCGACGAGGCGGAGCGATTCGGCGCTGGAGCCACCAGCCTCGCACGCAAGGATGCAAAGGCGCTGGAGCCCCGGTCGCAACAGCTCGAGTACGCTGCGCGCCTGCGTCTCTCAGCGACGGCCCCGCTTTACAATCAGCCACTTGCCCCATTGGGTCGCAGCGATGGTGCTCCCCGCTTTGCAATCGCCCGACGCCACCAGCCCCGGCGAGTCGCGCGGTCCCGTCGAGCACTCATCTTGAAACCCTGCAAGCCCTCGACCTCGCGGCCGAGCTGCACCAGCGCGTGCACACACTCCAATCCCCCCCCAGGCAGCTCAGAGGCCTGCTGCGTCACGCTTTCCGCGTCGGCTTGGAGACCATCCGCGACGCGCCGACGCCCGAGCAAGCGAGCGTGGGCTGGAAGCTGTTCTTGCTGGCGCCCCGCATGCTTCTCTATCGCGCGCCTGGCGCAAGCCGCGTGGCCTCGCACGAGCTACGACGACGCGAAGCACTCTTCCTGGCCTGGCCGGGAAGTGGCTTGACCTGCTCAACGAGGCCGCCGCGGCGGCACGGCCGATACCCCAGGAGCGGGGCCGCCCGGCGAGCGCGCTGGGCACTCCCCCCAACGAGGAGGACGACCTGCGCCGCCGAGCTGACCGCGCCGCGGCCCTAGCCCACCTCGGTGAGCTTTCAGCAGCCGCCAAGGCGCTCACCGCGCTCCCCTGCCCACGACCCACGACACGCTGGCCGCGCTCCGCGACCCGTCACGACGTCCGCAAGAACCCCAAGTCCCGGTTGAGCCGCGAATCCGGACCCACCCTGCGGCCCCCGTCGAACTGTGCCCGACGATGCTCCTGACCAACGTACGCCAAGCACGTAAGGGCGCTGCCCCCGGCCCGTCCGGCTGCACCAGCGAGCACTTGCGCGTGCTTCTGGACGACGAAGACTGCACGCAGCTGCTCGCCCACGCCGCGAGCATGATGGCCCGCGCCGAGGTGCCCGCGACGATCATTCCTGCAGTCCGGCTCGGACGCATGGTGGCGCTCACCAAACCGTCAGGCTGTGTGCGAGCTCTGGTCATGGGGGATGCGTTTCGGCGCGTGGTGGCACGCACGCTCGCGCAGCAGCTCCATGAACAGTTCCAGCATGCATGTGCCCCGTTCCAGTACGCCCTCAGCACCACAGCAGGCGCGGAGGCCCTGGTGCGGGCAATACGCGCGGCCACCGAGAGTGACCCGCGGACCACCGTGCTGAGCGTCGACGGGGTGGGCGCCTATATGACCACATTTCCCGACAGAGCATGCTGTCAGCGTTAGTGGACCGACCCGAGCTGGCCGGCCTCACACCCTTCGCTGCTCTCTTCTACGGCACGCCGAGCACGTACGTCTTCTACGACCAATGGCGGAGCGCACGACGTGCAACAAGGCGTTCGAAGGAGGCGAGCAAGGCGACCCGCTGATGCCGTCACTGTTCGCTTTGGGCCAACACCAAGCCCTAGTTGAGGCCCGCACCCGGCCAACACGCTTTATGCGTTCCTAGACGACATATACGTCACAGGGCCCCCCGAGCACACAGCAGGCCAGTTCGCCATCGTACGGGAGGCTCTCGCGAGGCATGCCAACATCCAGGTGCATCTGGGCAAAACCCGCGCGTGGAACAGCGCGGGGGAGGAGCCTCCCGGACTGCTCGAGGAGCTTCCCCCGGAGGACCCCGAGCACCCCTGCTGGACAGGGAATTGGGCCATCCCTGCAGCCCAACAAGCCGCGAGTTCATCGCCTCGAAGCTGGCACAGCGCTTGGAAGAGCAGGACCGCTTGCTTAGTCGGATCCCACGCGTGCCCGACCTGCAGTCGGCGTGGTTGCTCCTCCTGTACTGCGCGGCTCCCCGCAGCACTTACCTGCTGCGCACGCTGCCGCCGGCCGACACCGCTCACTTCGCGGCTTCCCACGATGCCGCCATTCGACACTGCCTGGCTCAAATGCTGGCGGGTGGCGATGGCGACATGCCGCTGCCCGAGCTCAGCCACCAACGCGCCCAACTCCCCTTGCACATGGGAGGACTGGGATTGGGGTCCGCCGACCGGCAACGCCACGCCGCTTACTGGAGCTCTTGGGCAGACACTGTCCGAGCGTTGCGGCAGCACCAACCGGGCGTTTTGGCCAACCTCCTCCGTCCACTGCTGGACGCGACGGCCAGCGGAACCCCCCCCAGCGCGAGCAGCGGAACAGGCCGCCCGCGTCCTGCGCTTGGGGCGGCTTCCCCGCGCCAACCTGGGCACAACTGCTGGAGGAGGATGGCGCCGCCCCCGCCGGCCTCACCACCCGCCCTGCCCCAGGAGAAAGACCGGGATGGCAGCGAACGGCATCAAAAGCCCTGCACAAGCGCGCGCTCGAGACGCTTTTCACTGAGCTTGACCCTGCGTCCCGAGCGCTGCTGCTGTCGCAAGGTGGCGATGCCGCGAGCTGTGCCTTCACGGCTTTCCCTACGAGCGCCGACACCCGAGTACCGGACGCGGAGTTCCGAGTGATGCTGCTCCGCAGACTCCGCCTGCCCCCCCGCTCGCCCCGAAACGCTCGCCCCGAAACGCTGCGCTTGCGGGGGACTCCTGGACGCATACGGCGACCACCGGTCGGCCTGCGCACAGGTGGGTGTCCTGGCGCGACGAGCTGGCCCCTTGGAGCGGGCAGCGGCTCGCATCTGCAGGGAGGCTGGTGCCCGCGTCGCAACGCACGTCGCCCTCAGAGACCTCAACCTCGACGTGCCCGCGAGCGACGGACGCCGCATCGAGGTGGTCGCCAACGGCCTCCCCCTATGGCAGGGCGCCCAAGTCGCCGTTGACGCGACCCTTGTATAAAGCCCGGTCCGCCGGGATGGCCAGCCCCGCCCGCGGGCTGACCAGCAACCGGGCCTGGCCTTGGCACAAGCAGTCGACCGCAAACGCCGGACTTACCCGGAACTGAGCCAAGCCCGGCGCTGCCGACTGGTCGTGTTCGGCGTCGAGGTCAGGGCGCATCAACCCGAACACGCTCACCTTCTTGCGACTGCTCGCGAAGGCGCGGGCCCGTCAAAGGGCGCCGTGGTGTGCGGTCGGAGCGCAGCGAGCCATGACGCACCGCTGGACGGCGCTTGCATCGTTCGCCGCCCTACGCGCGCATGCGTGCTCATTGCTCGAGCTACCCATCGCGGGGCGTGGTGACCCAACGGACGGCCTGGAACCCCCACTCGGGGAGCTCCTGGCGGGCCACCAGCCCCCGGCGCCCAAGTCGACTCTGAGCGCGCAACGCGGGGTGCAGACGGCCCCGCACACAGTAGGCTGACTCGGGACTTTCTTCGCTGTCGTAAAAAGGCGCGCAAAAAAAAAATCGCCCACCCGCCCTAGTGGGTCGTATAGTAGCATTGGTGTTTCCTTCTCCCACCTCTGGGTCGCAGCGTTGGTGCCCCCACTCTACGACTGCTTGGATCTCAGCAAGCGTTGGTGGAGCATGCTTTCTGTCGCCGTGCAGCAGGCAGTCGCCAGCACGGCTTTGGGCAGCGGCTGCCTACAGCCGCTGCAGCAACCGGAGGCGGGCGCAGGCCCACCGCTCGACGGCATCCTTCACCACGCTGCCCTTGAGGGACGGAGCCGCTTGCCATTGCAGCCGGCAGCGCCCGTGGAAGGACTGCAAGCATCGCCGACAAGCAGGAGCAGGAAGGTGTGACGGGAAAAACCAAATCGGACTACGTTGGGAATGCGAACCTACGTCAAGCGTGGTAGCCAGGGGAAAGTGTTGGGTCGACCTTGGGGTCCGTTCTCGTACCCGTACGTGTAACTTGGTTCCGCTGTTTGCTTGCCGGCTTGCCCTGCAGTAAGCACTCCACGCACCCAGAACTCGTCGGGAGGAATGGAGCCGCTACTCCTGTAAGTCTTTCCAGAGATTATATTTCCATGAAGCGATGTTTCTGCACAACGTCGCAAGCCAGCTGGGGCGCATAGAAGTCAGGCGAATACATGCGGGTGCCCTTGTTTGAACTCCCAATACTCCACCGATCTTAGGACACATGTGCAACCATGACGAAGCATGCAAGAAGATGGGCACTGCTGAGCATTGACTAGCATCACTCAGAAAGCGGATGCCGCCAGCCGCCGCTGCCGCGCTCGCATTGGCCCGCATAACTGCCTTGCGCAAGCCGGACGGGCGAGTACGAGGCACAGCGACTGGCGACGTGTTCAGGCTCGTTTCCCGGGCATTGGCGAAAACTTCGGCGTCCACCTCCGACGCGGCCACCCGCTCCTCCAGCATGCCTTGAACGCATGGTCCGGCATGGATGCGCCGGTCGCGCGGCTGCGCATCGCGCTCGAGACGGATCCGGATGTCGCCGTGGTCTCCTTGGACGGGTGCAGCGCCTACGATACCGTGTCAACGCCCGCCTCCCTAGCCAAGCTCCGCCAGGTTGCCCCTGCACTCTTACCGTTTGTACGGTTGTTTTACGGGCAACCATCGGTGTACTGCTGGTGGAATGATACGGGCGCGTGCCGCGACATCCACCGGGCGGAGGGCTGCGGCGACGCCCTCGCCCCACGATGGCCTGGAGCAGGCGGCGGCTGGTCCCCCAAGCGGGGAGCTGCTGGTACTTGGACAACCTGTACGTCATCACGCGTTCAGCGCGCGCCAAGCCCGCACTGGACGTCGTCACCAAGAGGGTCCAGCAGCATTGCGCAATCGCGTCCAACGTCGGTAAGACGCGGGTCTACAACACCGGCGGGGGCCCAGCCCCACAAGGGGTCGCCGCACTCCACAGCCGCCCAGCAAATCGCGCCCCAAGTGACGCGGCCAACCTGCTGCGAAGCGAGGGTTGGCACGAATGCCCCGCGTAGGCGACCCCCGCGTACAGGACCGCCCAACCGCCGCCGAGAAGCTGGGCCCGGTGATTGGCCCCATTGATGGCAGTTCCACGCATCACGTGCTCGCTCCCTTTACTTCCGCGACCGCGTGCTTCGGCTTACCCTGGAGCCGGCGCACCAGGCGCAGCTGCTTTCCCAGTCGGGTCCACAAGCTGACTTCCCTGCCGCTAGAAGTCATGCAGATTGCGCTGCGCCGACGCCTTCGCTTACAGCTGCCCCTTGGCCCCGGCCGTTGCGGGCAGGAATCACGGTTGCCGACGGCGCTGAGACCCGTGGGGCGACCACGCACTGGCATGCACGCGCACCGGCTGGCTGACTAGACGCGAAGTTGGTCGAGCGAGCTTGGGTTACCGGTTGCAGTTTGCCGTGAGGCCGTCGGGGCCGAAGGACACGTGGTCCCGCAACAGTGGCTGGCGCACACGTCGGTACCACGTGTGCTGTCAACTGACCGCCGGCGACTTCACCTCGTCGCCTACGGCGCCTCGCCCCAAGGTTTGGCGCTGTGCTGCGATGCCGCGCTCGCCAGCCCTGTGACAGGCGAAGGCGTGCCCCAACCGCGGGCTGCTTTCACCCCCGGCGTGGCACTGCACACCGCCGAAAACCGCAAACATGCCACCTACCCCGAGCTGCGATGCGGAGGAGCCCAGCGACTTTTTGCGTCCTGGCTGCGGAGGTCGGAGGCCGCTGGAACGCGGATGCGCACGCGCTTGTGCGGCAGCTCGTTCACGTCCGGGCCCTCCGTGCTACAATCTGGAAATGACATGGCGCATGAACCATATCTGGCCAGCATGCTCCTCGAAAGTGCCTTGCGCCACGGTGGAAATAGCAGAATTCAGTGCCAGGATCAGTCAGTCAGTCAAAGCCTCGTGCCAGGATGCCGGCTGCTAAAACAGGATGGTGCTGCATGGGAAGGTTTTGGTTTTGGAGTTAGCATGACTCAGCCATGCATCGCGAAGAGACCCGTGCTTGGCATTTTCAAGTGCCATGTGTATTCCAGGCTTATGTCAGGGTGGGAGGCCCGTGTTTTGCTGCAGGGCGAACTTGGCAAGCTTGATCGGACCTGTTCTCACGTATGGGCGAAAGCTCATGCGAGGCGAAGCGTGTGTCAAGATCACGGCTGCGGACGGGACAACGCAATCCCACGCACTACCGTGCATCAATGTTTGGAGGTTCTTGCAGTTGGCCCCTGCTCGCGTGGAGTTGCAAGATCGGCACCTACGGTATTGGCAAAGTGTTGCTCGCAGACCACACTTGCATGCCGCCGTACAGGCGAAACATCTCGTGTCTGTCCTGATTAGATGTTGGCGATAATGCCAATCTCATGCGTGAAGAGGGCATTAGTGAAAAAGTGCACACCAGCCACTGGTTAAAGACTCACCGAGCAGTTCAAGGACTGGATACATAAATCAGTCAACATTGCAGAAACGAAAGTACGGGTTATGTACGCCCTGGATGCAAAAGCGACAACCTACTGCGTCCGACTGTTGTGCTTCACGGGCAGCTTGACGGATGGAGACAGATACACGTCCCAGTGCAGCTACGTTGTTGGCCTCGCGACAGATAGTGCGGTCGATGGCCCCTCAAAACCTGCAGTGGGTATGTCAACAAGTTATGGCGCAGCACCTTGGCTGAGCCGGAGTCTTGCAAACACAGGCGGAAATTACATGTCTGGTGGATAACCTCTAGATGTTGGTCCTGAGCGGCAGCAGCGTGGGATAGCGCTGAATGGATCCAGCAAACTCATAAGCTGATGTCGTGCTGCATGCGCACTTACGCGCACTCTGCGCCGATACTCAAGCCCGAAACACCGCTAGGGTTTTCTACTCGCCGTTATTGTGAAGGCTACAACCTCCTACAGCACACGACGGCGCGGCATAAGCTGTAACGCTGCCACTGGAGAAAGCAAGAACTCAAGGCCCGACTAGAGTCCACGGCAGGAGAGTCGTGCACCCCACCCCTTGGAAAGCATGGCTTACGCATGCCAACTACACCGGCTGGGTGCTCGCGCTCGTCGATCGTTTTGGACGACTTTTGCAAGCTTGTCAACAAGATCCTCCCACAGATTGGCATGTGGGGTGAGCCTGCTTGCACTCTGCTTGCTTACTCTGTGGTAGGCCTGTTTTCAAACACAAATTTGCCAAAAACAGTTGCAGGGACGGTCATATATTCGAATTCATTACTAGTACTATTTTTCCTGGAATCTATGAGTGTCATTTTAATCGCCGGCGAAACCATGCTACCATTACGTGATATGTAACTCTACGTTGTAATCTGTCCTGCACATTTTGCGGTTTGCACGTTTTCCATTTGCTTCAACTGGCTGAAGCCACATATCCGCACAGGTTCCGAAAGCTGAACGCCTTGTGGCTTTGTTTCAATGAAGACAGCGCTCGTGGCATCCCATAAGACACCATGCGAACAAGTCACGATGTCGACAGTAGGTTGTAGGTCATGTGGGTGGATTGGAAATTTGGCCGCTGCCACCGCCGTGTTTGGTTTAGCTACCTTCCCCCTGTAACAAGGGTAGCGGCAACCAAGCTCAACACAGCGTCCACAGCGGGTGTCCCAGTTGTGTGCAAGTCTTGTGGAGATTCACATGCTGCTGGTTTCTTGCTCAGCTAAGTTCGCGCCCACGATTGCCGATGGCAGGTGCATTGCCTGGAAGTTCTTGGACAGATTGCTTTTCCTACTGCCAACATCTGTCAGTGCGCAGGCCCGGACCGCAAACGGAATGGAGGGAAATTGCAATGAGCCAAGAAAAAACGGCAAGCTGCTGCAGCGTGTTTGGCAGTGTAGATACCGAGGCCTGAAAGTTGTACTCCTTCAGCCATGTCCTGTGCATCGACGGGCTCACAGGCAAGCAGCGGATCCGCTTTGTTTATTTTTGTTTCACAGTATGTGACACGAGGAGTTCTAAACAAATGTCAGGTAGAAGAGCACTGCCATTTATCTCAAACGCTGGACGTGCGGCGCTTACAGGGCTGCAGTAGTAGCGTGCCTGTCACGAGTTTGGTTTTGCAGGCGTTGTCCGACCAGGACGTCACAACGCGCGTGCTCTCAAACAGCGACCACATGTGTCATGCCAGGCATTGCAAGGCAGGTACAAGTGAATTGATGTTCTTGAGGCCGCGGCGTGGCGAACCAGAGGCTCCTTCCTGTCGAACTATGGCACAGTGAGGGAGCAGGAGAGAACCAAGCAACAGTCGAGCATGCACGGGTGCAGGCGGCAACCCAAGCAAAGCCCGATGCGAAGTCCGAGCCTGGGGTTTGCAATGGTCTGTAAGAACTGCAATCTTACGTACTGAGCCACACCGGAATCACAACATAGAGTGTGAATGACAGCACCACAATCACCATAATCTTAACTGAGGCTTATGCTGCCCGTCGGAAAACGGGGATCATCTGTGCCTGAGCCTCACGAAATGCAAGAGGATTCTGCATTCCAGAATGCCGTGCGATGTGTGTTGCTCAGGGCTTGGTGCGACATTCAAGACGAGGAGGCCTGCAGAACTTCACGCATCACGCATCCGGGCAGTTTTTTAATGGACGTGTCGATGTGCTCCGCAAAAGTCTCGCTGTGCACCAGCTCAAGAGCAACACGATATTATGCTTTACTGGTGTTAGTACGGCCCAGCCCAGAACACTGAGAACAGACACTCGACTTGTCGCTCCGTCAGAGGGGCTTGCGTGCCGGCAGTAGAAGCGGCCAAGCGATGGCGACGCAGGACATCCGTATCGAGTCGCCCGGCTTTCCGTCGAGAGTTATCGGTCAATTCAGGAGCATGCCACAGGAACCCGGCAGGCCGGGGCAGCAGACTAGCGCTGGGTTTCTGCCAATTGCTGGCGTTGCTGGTGGTTTCGCCACTTGCAAGGACAAATTGGGAATGTCGGGGCGGAGCTCGCGTCTACAGGTAGAATTGGTGCAGACCGGGAACGAAGCCGCAGCAGGGTTGCATTAATCTGCACGTAAGAAGTCCGTCGAAAAGCTGCGAGGCATCTCAACAGCCGGGATACGGTAGCTGCTGCGTGCAGTGCTCCTCAGGTCACGCAGCGTTCGTCGGCCGTTAGCAGGTTGTCCGGGGACACACGCAACATGCAGGCGTCGACCCAGATCTCGAGCCTCACATGAACAATAGATTTGCATGGGCATGTCAGGTATCAGCCATGGAGTGGCGGGAAGAATGCAAGCTGCTCAGAATGCAGATGGAAGCGCAAGACCGTCGCGAGGACCCCAGTCATAATTCTGCATATGCGCGCATGAGCAGACATGGCGATGCATGAAACACTATAGATTTTTGACCCTGTGCCCAGGCTTCCGGAACTGGCTCGCATTGACTGCCTTGGCTTTGCTCGCGATCTTGGCTGTGGTTTGGATCAGGGATGAGGGCCGCATACGTGAGGTTGAACAAGAGGTGCGGTTGTTCTTCTCTCTTCCGGGCAATGTGTCCAGTCATGCTGGCATACTAAGCAACGACACCCGGGACATTTGTCTGCTGATGTCGTCGCAGGAGCAGCGCCTGATCCAAGTAGTCCATGACATGGAGCAGCAAATTCTCAACATGACGCACGAGAACGACACGACAGCTACAACGACCACGACCACGACCACGACCACGACCACGACCACGACCACGACCACGACCACGACCACCACAACGAGTACAACCACATCGAACGAAAGCTTTCTCGAGTGAGTCGTGGACTTGTCCGTGCTCCAGTTCTCTGCAGAAATCTGCAGAATGCAGCCCCGGACAAAGCTGTCCAGCAAACTTGGTGAGCATGAAGTGCCGGATGTGACGGCAAGTCTCGGCCCGGCGGCTCCGCAGCCTCGCGGCGACCAACTGAGAATGAGAGATGCTGGCCCCAGCCCCAGCTGACTACCTGAAGCTCCGGCAAAGAACCGTCGAGTAGTCAAGCGCCGCGCGACTTGGTAGCTTGGCTTCTCATCTTTCCAGAAAAAGGCTTTTCACTTCGAATTAGAACCAGTGCCTCGACTTACACTGTGAATTTCTCTGTGCGCTCTTGCCAGACTCTCGTCGACAACAACTGGCTTCCCAGCCACTTGGAGCCGCAGCCGACAAAGGCCATCTGGCTCTAAGGGCTCTACAAGATCTCCTTGATCATTCCAGATTCAGTTTTGTGCCCTAAACCCTAAGCCCTAAGCCCTTGGTTTGCCCGGGCTGTGCGAGTCGAAGCCGTTAAACGCAGCATGTATGTGCACCCACCCACTTGCGGGCAAATCGGTTCAATCAGACAGCACCAGCCGGCTGTTTCGGCCAAAGCAGTCCAGATTCGGGAAGTTAGAATTCTCCAGAACCCGAGAGCATCCACTCCTGAACGCCCAGCTAGAACCTTGCGGCAGATAAATCAGTAGGATCTGCAAGCATCAGACAGTTCGAAGCAGATCTGTATAGACATTACTGAAACCACATCCTATGGGAAGAAGGCAGAACTTCAGAACACCGAACGATCGCTGTGACAGTGCCGTCTTGGTTCTGACCTCCTGGAGCTCTGCGGATAGGATCGTTCAGTGCTTCAATCAGTGATAGCAGGGCGTCGCCCTGTCCAGGCGGCAGAGACGGCCGAAGTGAAGAGCAGCTTCGGCAAGAAGCAAAAGCCGCAAAAGAAAGTTCGAGACGTGAGCTCGCGTGCATGGGGCTCAGTTTTCGACCAGATGCTACTTCAGTGTCGACCGAGGCCCGGCTTGTAATCGCAATCCAAGCCGGAGACCCTCTCGAAAGCAATACAGAGAGCCCCGGCCAGAGCCAACCAGCACATCATTCGACAAAGTAGTGTCTTTGATCGTCCCCGTCTGAGTAGCTTCAGGACAACTCTGGCGGAGTCTTGCTATGGCACATTGTGCATGGAAACAGGAAGCTTTGGGGTGCAGCTGCGCTGGCTCAACAATCCATTTCCATTGTACTACACCCCCAGTGCGGCCCAGAGCCATGGAAGCGGAGCGCCTGATGGTGCCTCGGACTGTCGGACTGTACAGGGTGAGGGGCCGTCTTCCAAAAGTCGTGCAAGCTAGTCCGTGCGGAAAGGGACACAATTTCGCTTGTTGACTAGCTTGTGCAAGGTCGCCCATGCATGCCTGTCATTCAGAATGCCGAGGGTTATTGCGAGCCAGCTGGCACTCCAGTAAGGAAGAGGGCAGAACAAACGAGCAGCTTCACATCGAGGCGCGGATTCGAGTGTTCACGTAAAAATCGGTAAACAGAGTTCGGCGAAGGACCCCGGCAACCCGGCCAGGATCAGAAGTCCTTCTGTGAGCGCTGTGGTTTGTGTGTTGGCCCGCGCTATGCTTCGACACTGACCGATCACGAGCGTGATGCTGCGACTGGGCTGAGTTGCTGCTCCACAAAAATGAAAACAGGCTATTGCCAGGTTTTGTAGGCTGTGGAATCGCCCCCAACCATGGGTCATCCCCCTATTGCCCCCTTTGCGAAGAACTCGGGCTGAATGTGGAGACTTCGGCAAAATCATGGCTCATTCAACGATGCTAATGAGATTTCCGTGATTCTTTGTTGCAGTTTTCGAACTGTTTGATTACCGGGCATCTGCTTGGCACATAAGACCTCGTGCTGGGGGTCAAGCTTCACTTCGGTGAACCATTGCGGGGACATTTATGCGGCAAAACCAAATCATGCAAAAGTGACGTGATCGCACGCGCAAGCTCTGCAATGTGGAGCAGAGGTGTGGCACATGCGACGTCAAGCCCCTTTGGCCGAAGCTTTAATACTTCCGAGGCATCCATCGGGAAACGAGCTGCACAGCTGAGGTCGTGAATAGCCCAAAACCAGAAGAGGCAGAGCTGCAGAAGCAAGTCATGATCCTGGGCCCTGGAAAAGTGCGCAGAAGCCTTCCAGCTCGTAAGGCAGCACTCAGGTGCTGGAGATCTGGAACACTGCTTTCCCGGAGGAGAAAGCGGAGACATTTGCCAAGGGCTCCCGCTGCGCCCTGAGGTCTGAGCAGGCTTCCATGCGGTACGCAAGACATGGTCTTGGAGCCGCCGTGCAACCAGCCAGACAGACAGTGACAGCTAGACTGCGCTTGGTTGCACGTTGTGGCTCGCGCGTGCTCCGAGATTGGAAGAAGCTCGGCTTCCAGGGTGTGGACCCTGCCACAGACGTTCGAACGGGAGCTTGGCCTCTTGAGCAGCTAGCAACTCGCCGGAAGCTGGCATGGATCACATCCGTCAGAAGGGCAATGCCGTGCACTCTCAATCTGGTAGCGTAGTGCTGGCCGCTGGATGTTAAGCTTCAGGCGAGCTTCGCGCGGCACCGTCCGCGAGTGACATGTCCGGATAACGTTTTATGTTTCTAGACGGTGGTAGAGAGCCTTGACGTTGTCTGCCCGATCGGGGCCTCAGGCAGGTTTCGTGAGTTTTGGTGTTCAGGGAGCGAGACCAGTTGTTGTGATGTGCCACGTCTGAGAAGTGGTTTGAGCCGTCTCTCAATGTCAATCAGGAGCTACATGACATGGCGGCCCGGCAGCAACATTCACCGTCATAGCTTGAGTCATATCTTGCTGCCTAGTGCTCGCAGTTGGCTAGAGCTGTGAGGCAAACTTTGCTGTCGCCAGTCGTAGGTGCAACAGTCTGCAAACCCAGCATCCTTCTACCTCTTTGCGCCACTCGGTGCAACTTGAGCAGGGAGGTGGCCAAGGCATGGACGCTTATTGCTGATCCGTTATCCGTGCAGGATCAGCTGCTTCAATATTTCTCACATGCTGGCCGGAAGCTGAGAAGTGCATTTGCAACTGAGAGGACGGGGTCGTTTCAATGCTTGCAGGCCGTCTTCTTCGACCTCAATACCTCCCTCTCCGTATCTCCGTTGGGAGCAGTCCGTCGAGCCAGCAAGCGGCAGCTTCGAAATCTGGCGAGACTCGAAACTTGGACCTAGTGAGTGCGAAATCTTCCCTTTGCGGAGCTGTGCAAAAAGCTTTATTCAGGTCGTGCGAGAGTGCAATGCAAACAACGCAACTCGTCATGAGTTCACGGTCTAGGAGGCCGCAGTGACCTGTTTCGTAGTTTGTTCCTTCAGCTCTCAGCGCTCGGAATCAGGAGTGCTACAGAATGGTCTTTCGATGCGAGCTTGAAGAGGGTTCGTGTTCGGTTTATGACCCGAAGCGTGCAATAATGTTATCTGACATTTTCAGCGGTTGCACGCCTTTGAACCGAACTAGGGTTTGCTCGGGTGTTGACTACGCCTGGGCGCTTCGAGAGACAGAGAGAGTTATATAGTCGCATACCCAAGGTTGACATGTCTGCGAGCATCTGCCGCTTGGTCCTGGACGAGGCATGTCTCCCTGCGAGGACCATCATGGAGTTGGCTGCTGCCTGCTGTTGCTAGGTCTTTGTGGAGGTGCTGTCGGTGGTCCACAATCACTGGCTTGAACTGAACAGGAATGGAACCTCGGCTCCAACAATGTGAGGGATGCTGCAACACACATGCAGCACTTGTGTCTCGAGCTGCGTATCCGATTTGTTGCATGTTCAGCCTTTGAGGTGAGAAAATCACGCTCATGGATTTTCCGAAAGCTCTCCGAGACATGGCGGCATCTAACGAATCGTATCAAGCAAACGCTATCCGGGCAAGCCCTGGGCTGTACAGAGAGTGCATTCTCCAAGGAAGGGGCTTTGATGCGAATTCGAAATTCTTTGACAGGCGCCGATACGATTTCACAGATAGACGATCTCGGTGAGCAGTAGTGTGTGCAGTTGACCCTTGAACCTCGCCTGCCTGCCGAGAGCCAGTGCCAAAAACTGTAGCTTCTCGCGGCACTGCTACTGCGAAGATGTGATAGGCTTATGCTGTTATGCTGCTTGATCTCGCAGGCCTTGCGACTCCTTGGGCGACTTGAAAATGGCTTAGCCAGACCTCACGGCCTTTTGAGACCTGGACTCCAGCAAGACTGCTGGAGCCAGCACCAGAGCTATGTTGGGGCTTGTTGTTGGAGATGAGCCTTCTAGCAACAGCTACGGCGACGGTGCCGTCCATAAAGTAGCGCCCCATACTGCGCACTCTCCTTGCTCGCGATCGTGATAGTGTGTCACCATTCGCTTAGCTTGTACAGTGCTCCACGACGTGGCATTGCACGCGGGAGGAGGAAAACAAAAATTGTGCAATGTCACCTTATGTGGCGAGGAATGTCCGTAGCATGCAAGTCAAGGTGGAAAGAGAGGCGAAGACGCCGGATGCTGGATATGCCCGCCAGCAAATGCCGCGCACTTGCCGTTGGACCAGTCGTTTTTGGTCGGGTCCCGTCAACCCAAGGCCAGTACACCCAGCGTCACCGGCTGGGGCTGATAGCTCTTCCCAGGCCCCGAAGCTTCAAAAGCATGCTGGTGTCACCATCCACAAGCTTTTTTCCGCTTGTGCCTGCACTGCAGGTGGTGACTCTTGGAGACCTCGGCTTACATTGTACAGCATGGAACCAGGCGGCCACCGTCTGAGCACCCAAAGTCTTGGCAAGGTGTTGGACTCCCAAGTTGAAGTTGTCTTCTGTTGTCTCTCCGTCTTTCCGAGTTGACTGCCTGAAAGCAGAGAGACACTTGGCCGAGCCATTTTCCTCTAAGACGAGCTTTCAAGGCTCACGGGATGCCACCGGACCTTCGCGGTCCCCCGAGCGGGCCGGAGGCGATGCGGAAAGGAAGCACGAAATCTAAGAGTAGCCACACGCCGCTGCCAGGTTCAATGGATGCCCGGGCAAGGAAAGGTGGGCATCACAGCATACGGTGTATTCTGCTCCCGCTTGACCATTGTGGCAGGGCGCTTTGCCACCGCCCAGCGTGATGAGCACGGCCCCCATCGACAGCGGTCGACACCCGGCCCGTCTGCTCAGACTGACAGTCCGACCGTAGCACAGCAGTCGCATGCAGTCTCCTGGCCACAGTGCTTGCTGTCATTGAAGCTAAGGTCTTGTTGCCACAAGCGGCCTTGGGCCAGAAACCCGGCAACTGTTCCCCTGGCCGATACCGCTGTCCTTCCGAACAAGCACCAGTGGCTCAGGCACATCTCCAGCAGCTGCAGCCGCTGCGCAACTTTCCGGAAAGATCGAAGTAGATCAAGTAGATGACATGTGTTACGTTTCGGACGCCTAGGCTTCCTCCGCGCTTTGGTGACGCGTCAACTCGATTCTGTCCAGGCACAATCCGTCAATGGGTTCATTTGCCCACGACGGAGCACTCATTCCATCAATTGAGACACTGCAGCACTCCGTTGTGGCAAAAGAACTAGACGTGATTGTTCGGCGCTATGGTGTTGTCACAGTCGCGAAGGAATTCGGCTTGACGTGATCATTCTTGTTGCTGGTGCTGTTTCAGTTTCTTCAGCTGCAGGTGCTTCGCCGACAGTTCAATTCGGCAACGCCTCGATCAGGTTTATACCTGCAGGCCAAAGTGTAGACATGTTCAACCTATTCTTTGCTACTGCTAGGAGTAGATTGCAGCTGGCTCGCTGGCCTGGTGGGACAGGCTCTCCAATGGCAAATCCACTTGCGGCAGCGACTCCCACCGTTGGTGTCTGAGTTTCCGACTTGCAGCATATCTAGCGAGGTCGCCTTTGCTTCTGTTGAAACGCCGGAGCCGGCAAATTGACAGTATTCAGCATCTCGTGGGGCTCGGATGGCAAGCCTAAGGGGAATGCTTTCGGTCCCCCCCCCCATGCGTCGTGTCACCCAGTATCTCCGGTTGGAGTTGCTGTTGTAGATACATATGTATGTAATGTATGTATGTATGTCTGTATGCATGTACGTGTGTACCTATCTATGTATATTTTTTTGACTATGTATGTAAGTACAGAGAGTGCGTCGTGTGCTTCTGTTGCAAACAGTTAGTTCATTTTCGGGATATTTCGTCGTGTATGAACACAACGCAAGCCTTGTACCGCATGCACCAAGAGCAGAAACGTCGGAAGCCAGAGTGTCGGTGCCCTGCGGGTCTGACCCCAGCCGGGACAAGCTAACCACTTGTCTGTGAATGGCAGCCGCAAGCCGATGAAGCCTTGAAGCCACCCAGTTAGAGCTGATCTCAAACTAAATCAAGGGATGACGGGGTGTATGAAACAGAAGCCAGGCAAAAGAGTGGGCATTGGGGCACCGATATGGTCAGGCGCTTCCGATTTCGATTCCCATCTCGAATGGATTCCGACCAGCACGGGGCGACGCAACATTTTTCTCGCCTAGGGCAAGTAGCCCAACATGTGCAGACGTTGTTTCTTGTGGGGCCACAGGCTGACCTTCTATGTGACAGCACAGGCAACCAAAGGGAGCCCTCCAACTCTGCGGAAGGAGTCTCAGTGCCGGCCAAGCAGTCTCGGCAGGTGCATGCTTGCTAAGGATGCTAAGGCAGGTCACGGTGAACTCTGACTCTGCAACTTTAAGGATTTCAGTAATCGGTCTCAACACATGAGAACCACAATCTGAGAGGGCTTGGCGGGAGGGGGGGACAATGTTTTCCATTTTACACCAGCACGCCTGGTACTAGTACCACGCTAAATCAGCTGGATTTACCGTGGTGGCACCCACGGTCTTGTTCAGAGCTGTGCAGCAGAGGCACGATTGGCAGCTCTGCGCAGAGTTTAGCACGAGTTTGGTCAGAACGAGCTGCGACTACTAAGTTTCATAAAAGTGCTAGAAGTGATGGCGGAAAGAACCGGCTTTCAACTCTGAGTGTATCTGAGGGTCTAAAGTCTCAAAGACAGTACAAGCGGCTTGAAAAAGAGTGGTGCCGAGGCATGCTACGACGCGCCACGGGCTCGGCATTGACATGTTGCTAGCTACAAGTAGTTGGAAATCCAACTCATTTAAAACGTGATCCTCTGGCTGAGTGCAGTGAGGTCGTGCAGAACACCAGTGAACACGCCCATGGCTCCGGCAAACACACCCATGGCTTGCCACATGTCGTGGTGTCTGCCTTACTACTGACAGCTTTGTTGATTTGGCTGTCCATGCCTTCTGATCAGGCCAGATGCCAACAAACAGGCCAAGGAGACCCGCGCTCAGAATCCTTGCCTGCCACAGCCGCTCGGTGGCAGAAGTGAATTCGCCACCCGTTGCGCGTTCCTGAAGAACCAACAAAAACCACAAAGTGAACATTGTCACACGGTCCAGGTTCAACACTGGCGGATCTGTGACCTGCCCAGGCCCGGACTTGAATGCACTCATAGGTCGAGCCGAGTTTGCGTTGGAAGTTCATGGGGATGCCGAGAGGAAAGAGAATGACCCCAAAATGTGTGAGAGGTATGTTAGCAAGTAGGAGAACGGCGCAAACAGCGATGATTAGCAGCGCTTGCTTGATGAAGCGAATGCTGCTAAACTCAAACCTGGGCAATCGAGTCGCAGCGGTTTGCTTGCATCTCTACTCATCAGGCCTGTCGACGTGTCCTTTTCCGATGTGTCTTCCGAATCCGAGCATTCGTCGAGTCGGCCAGGAAGGCAATCGAAACGAGTCACGAACACCAGCGAGAGTGAGTCAGCGACTGCGTGACTGCATCAGGCTTTCGTGAGTGAGTGAGTGAGCCGCTCTGTTTGTTTGTCATTGAGCCAACTTTACACCGAACCGCTTCCCCACTCCCTCGCGTGCTACGTTGCTTGAACTTGCAGCGCGCCTGGCAGCAGCAAGAGATGTTCGGATTGTGGGATGGAAGGTTCTTGGAAGGTTCTGTTCCGTCTTCCAGTCTTGATCAGGTCTTCTTGAATCCGTGTATTGCAAGTTGAAGAGATTCGGCCCTTAGGAGGGCTTCGGTGAAGCTTCATTTCCAAGCAACACAGACTGGAAACTCCGAGTGAAGCACCCGGCTGAAGCGAAAGATGCGGGGATAACATGGATAAGCTCATGGCTACTACTGCTGCAGGCCCTAGCAGCCCCGCAGTGTCCCGCTTGCAGGAATGTCGCCGACAGCGACGGCAGGCCCATGGAGCAAGTCTCTCAGCAAAGGAGTACGGAGTCATTTGATTCAGGCCTGGGCTCATCTGGAAAGCTTCCATCTCCCGATGGCCTTGAGGTCCCGTCGCAGCACCAGCTGATGCACTTCGCGTATTTCTCGGCCAGAATCATGTAACAGGCCCGGGGGCGGGTGTATTGTTCGATGCCGCTTCCCAGTCTTCTTGGTTTAGTTAATTGGGTTCGCGGAGAGAGGGACGAAGGGCAACAGTTTTTGTCAAAGTAGGGTTCTACGAGTCCACATGTGAGGGTGGAAGTAATGCATGCCCTTGTCTATCTGTTTTGCCTGTTTGCCAGTCTGTCTGTGCATATGTACGTGTGTACATAACATCTGCACGGAGACAGGAGTGGGTAGGGGGGGGGCTGGAGGAGGCGGGGGTGCTCAACAAAGGCCGCAAGCGTGCTTGTGAGCAGCTGGAGGGGCGTCCTCTTCGGAAGAACACGGCCGGACCTCTATCCCACGTACAGACAGTCTCACCTTGTGTGCATTTTGTCACGGAAGCTGGCTCCTTGGAGCTTGCGGGAGTTGTTGTTTACATAGTTCTTTCTTGGGCAACTTAGCAAGGAGGGCCCCTTTTGTTGCATTGATTCTTTCACACGCTTCGCTTTTCGATTGGGGTGGGGGCCCTCCCCTCAAGGCCCCCTTTGCTTGTCGGTTTCGGGTTTCAACGGGTTGAGCTATCGTGCTTGCAGTGGATGCTGATTCTGTTATGCATGCTTGTTTCTGGTCCATCGGCATTGCAGCATGCTCACCCACGCGCACGTTGCGTCGAAACGTGCACGACGGTATTCTCCCCAACCGCCGCCATCCCATCGCTTCTCTACTGGCTCATCCCTCGGCGTTTCTACTTCTTGCCCCTAGCTTTCGGCCGCCTTGCTCTCAAGTTGCATATTCATGCCATTCCGATTTTCTGGAGGAATCACGTGGTACCAATCGTCATCTCATCGTTGTTCTACTCATCAAAATATTCATAGTCATAGCCGCCTTCATCAGCATCAGCGTCATCATCAGTTTCATTGCAGATCAGCCTCCCAAAGTGAGTATGTGCGTTTGTTTTTGATCGAGCTGGAACCCCACCCTTTGTGACCTCCCATCGGGCCTTCAAAGACAAAGACAATCTCGTGAATCTAGTGGCCATCGGGTTCATAAAGAACTCGCTCCAACAGGTGCCGAGCTCGCGGCTCGCCTCCAAGCAGCTGCTCCTGACAGCCCCTCGCCGAACCACTTGTGCAGTTCTGTTGCAGTGTTATGGTATGTTAGTGTGCGCTCAGATGAGATGCTGTGCCGAAGTCACTCGAGTTTCAAGGGACCCAGACGCACGTGCTTGCATGATGCAGCTCAGTCGAGGCTATGAGGATTGAGTCGTTGCGCCAAGCCCGTGGTGGACTTGGCGATACTGATGATCGTCGCACGTTGTCGCAGTTGAAGTCCCGTTTCATTTCTCACCTTCTCGAATCTGCCTGCTTCAGAAGCCTGTTTTGACATTTGCTTTTGCCGAGGCTTTGTCCTGAAACGTCAGCTTCTGCACGTCCGGTGCTCGGGGGTCGACAGCTGGAATCTCGCGCCGTCGCTGTGGTGATAACCTGGAGCGTTCAGGTTGCCGCGCACCTGTCGCGCCGCGGCGCAGAGAGCGTACTGTGCTTGCCTCAGGCGTCAGGGAGACTTTGCAAGCCATGATCTTAAAACAGCTGCACGTTCTCAGGTCCCTGTCCTGAGCGTAGCCTTTGGCATGCAGGAGAAGCCTGCCGATATCTGCCGAATGACCCAACGTCTAAACTCGCTAGACCAGGCATCGTCATAGTCCCTTCAGAAGAAGACTGGATTCTGTCGGGCACGGCATACGGTCTCCTGCATGAAAGTTTCTTGTTTGAAGCCGGCAGGATGCATTCTGGCATGACGGGTTGATCTTGGTAGGCAAAGCCGAGCACATGCCCAGATATCACACTGTCACCGCTCGAATGTGCCCTGCTTGCGAGATCTCTCCATGCTTGGCCTTCAGGTTAGCCAGCGTGCAGGCACTACGAAGCAGCACGGAGCTACCCAGACGTGTTGATCTTCTTACGTGTCGTGTGTTCTCTACTAGTACCGACTCGGCCTCTCGTTAAGCACAGGTTGACATGCTGTGGTGTGCCGTGCTGTTCATTGATTGCGCAAGCGTAGTAGCCTGCCTTCCCAGCCTTAGCACTAGCTTGCCCTCCAATCGAAAGGACCAGGAGTGTCCTGCTGGGGATGTAGAGTTAGCTCGTTTCCAGGTCTGTAGATCCTTGACTTGAAGCAGTTCGCGATCCGTTCCAGAAGACCTTGACAAACATGGACGAGGGTTAACATCAAGCAAACTGGCGAGGTAGCCGGATGTACTTCAAGAGCAGGGCCCTTTACATGTCTGCAGACTTTCCGCCGGACCACAGTAGGATTTGAAAACGAAGGTGTGAAGGCGAGATGCCTTAATACCTTGAGTAGGAGTCTCAGAATTTCCAAGGCCAAACGATGTCTTGCTGTGTACAGAGAACAGCAGAAACTCAAGAGCCGAGAGCAGTGACTCGCGGTCCAGCTGGTCCGGGCTGCTTTATGTCAGCGCTGCAT